TAATTTATATAATATTTATATAATTTATATAATATTTATATATAATAAATTTATTAAAAATTTGAAAAGAGATCGAACGCGATACCGTTCTCCTCGTTGGATACCGTTCCTTAATTAAGACGCCTAGAAATTAATTAATCGATTGGAGCGCGACAATCCGAGACAATTCTCTCCCTTCCCAATTTTTCTCAAATCTTTCTTCGCCGAAATAAAATATTTCTCTACTGAAGTAAAAGTAGAAACGATAGAGGGATGAAAAAAAGAAAGAGCGTTCGAATATTCGTGGTATCGCGTGGGCAACCGATTATTTTAAGTCCAACCGATTCGATCGAGGCGAAGCGAAGAGTTTGAACGGCGATTAAGGAGAACCGTGTCCGTGAATGGGGAGAGGTGGAAGGGAGAGAGGTCGAGTTCCCTCGGCCATTGTCGTTTCGTTACATCGATTTCCCCTCGTATATCCAGCGCACGGGCCAATTCCAAGATACTTCTTCTCGAGGGGGTGTTGGAGTTAATTGTCCTCCAACAGAACAGCGATAAGTTTTCCACAACCCCGGTTATCTCGCGTTCAAATATACCAGAGATTCCGTGAACACGGAATCGAAAACACGGGTAAGAAAATACAATTGCTCCTCGATTATCGGTTTTACGATTCTCCCTCCCTAACTAAGAAGGAGGAGGAGATCGTCAAGCCACAAAGATTCCAGAGATAAGAGAGAGTCGTTCTTTGAACGAAACTTTCCGAAACGAAAACTAGAAGAATCAAAGGAAAGAGTGTCTCTTTGGATTACTTTCCCACCGGTTGCCCTTTCAAAGTGTAAAAAAAAAAGAAGAGAACCACTCGATTTTTACCTCCTATTATAAAATTATCTCTGAACCTAACCACCGATTCGCCATTTTTCCATTTAAAGTTTTAGATAAGAGTATCTCAATCTCGAAGAATTCCTCTAAAAAAGAGAAGAAACAATTCGAAACAACTCGAAACAACGCGTCGAGGTTTGCTCGTAAAGTCGAGGAGAAGGAGGAGGAGGAGGAGGAGATTACACCCTGCTGCTGTAAATTGGCCGGCCCGCCGTCCCGTGAACGATTCGCGTTTAAATTCGCTGTGGAGTAAGCCGGACGGAAGAAAGGACACGGAGGAATAAACGTTGGGGGGATAGGAAACTCTCTCTCTCTCACGCTTCGTTGACGTTTCGCCGGTTCGTTCGATGGTTAGCCACGAGTTTTAGCTCCTCCACGAGATTCGCGAGAAACGAAAGGAGTTGACGTTTCTCCACGGCAGGATTTTATTAACCCTCGACGTTTCGTGCGCCAACTCGAGAGGCGGCGGTCTTTGTCCGCGCTAGATTTCTTTGTTGTCTCGAATTAATAAGAGCGCGGTATCCTTACCTCTTTATCTCTTCATCGTAAACTTTAATTATCGTTCTAACGATCTTGGCGAAAAGTATTATACAGTTTCGTAAGTTTTAGAAGCTTTAACCCTTTGCTCTTCAATGGGATTGTTGCGGCAACTTGAACAATATTTATTTATGTTTGATTCTTTTAGAATATCATAAATAGGTTCCTAAGACCTTTATGAGTATAATCTAATGAGTAATTATCTTATGGTAATCTTATGAGGCCATTGAATCTGAGTCTGGAGTTGCTTCGACCGAAACAGGCTTGCAGTGCAAAGAATTAAAAGAATTTTGGAAATAGATGAATTCGAAATTATATTCGTTGAGAAATCAGCGGAAAATGATAAGTGACGCCCCGTTTCGAGATTCTGATCATTCAGAATGGGCTCGAAATCTGATTGATTTCGCGTTATTTGTAAGACGTGTGGTATGAGTATAATGTTATGAGAGTAATTATCTTATGGTAATCTTATGAGGCCATTGAATCTGAGTCTGGAGTTGCTTCGACCGAAACAGGCCTGCAGTGCAAAGAATTAAAAGAATTTTGGAAATAAAATCAGCTTAGAGCGAAGATGAATTCGAAATTATATTCGTTGAGGAATCAGCGATGGAGAAAATGATAAGTGACGCTCCGTTTCGAGATTCTGATCATTCAGAATGGGCTCGAAATCTGATTGATTTCGCGTTATTCGTAAGATAGACGTTGACACTTCGAAAGAAGTCGTCGAATTTCAAAAATTTTTCGATTATCGTCGACGTAACGCGTCCAGAAGGTAGCCAGTGACTAGGAACAGAGAAGGCTTCTTGACGGGGTAAAATAAGGCAAACACACCTGACCCAGATACAGTCGCGACCGCTCGTGCGAAACCGTTCTATACGACTCCGTTCCGAGTCGAATAAAGCTATTTCTTTTTTCCCAGACGTGCCGCGGTATTCTTCGTTTCTTTTGGAAAGGGTAGAAAATGGTGGAATGGGAGAGAGAGAGAGAGAGAGAAAAAGAAATAAATAAATTTGATGGGATTTAATTCGTTTTGTGATCTTCGAGCGGAAACGAAGGGTTGGGAATTTTTAGGGTGGAAGAAGAACCAATTGTTTTTCTTTTTTTTTTTTTTCTCGTTCGAGACGTTTGGGACGCGGGAACGCGTTCGCTCATTGTTTGTTTCGGAGCTGTATGGAGCGGTGGAGCGCGACAACTTGCCACGAAATCGCAATATCGAACGAGTTCTCTCTCTCTCTCTCTCTCTCTTTCCGTGGCTCGAGGGAGAATAATATTGAAATCAGTGTGGTTTGCAAGCACGATGACTGCGACGCCGACGCAAGTAGGCCAGCTCGAAATAGAAAGCATCAACTGGGGCAGTCAATGGCCAACGTACGATCGTCACCCCACGTTTTTTTTTTTTTTCACTCCTTCTTTTTCTTCTTCCTCTTCTTCTTAGTCTTCGTCTTAGTCTTTCCCCTCTGGCTTTCTCCCCCCTTTTTTTCCGCGCGCCGATAGAACTGGCTTGATTAGAGGGCACCGCGCCGTTTCGAGTGACCGATTTTTCGCGCCTCTTTCTGAACGCTGCTCGGTCGATAAGTAAGTATCGACGAGCTTGACGACAGAGAGAGAGCGTCGTTCGTCAACTTTTTATCCAAGCGGTGGACGAAACGGCGCGTATCGCCTTGCACGCAGCGAAATTTAAATTGGCTTAAATTACGGATAAAGTTGCTTCGATTTATTTATCGAAACGAGTGCAATCGCAGCTTACTCGAAAAGCTCGGGATCAATTATGATATAATAGGAGTAGACGTTTGTTCGAGCATTTTAATAAACAATTATTTGAAAGCAAGTTTATTCGAAATTTTTAAACAATCTTTACTTTCTTCGACAAGTTGTTAACTCTGGAGCGAACGAGTATCGATTAACGCGTCGATAATATGCGCACCATTTCGATTACGATAAGATCGATTGTTTTTGGAAAAGCAACCACCGATTGTTTCGATAAAAAAGAAAAAGAGACGTCCGTTAATCGCAGCATGTCCATAGCTATATTTTTACCAAGAGCTCCTCGTCGATCCTCGATCGAGGAGGAGAAGATCCAGGATCGAAGGGGAGTATTCCCTCTCTTTGCACGTGACGTGTAGCGGTTGCGTAAAAGTTTCGTGGCGCCCGCTTTCTCTCTCTCTTCTATCCACGCGCACGCTCTTTGCCCGACGGATTCATACTTCTTTCATCGCGCGCCATATTCCTTGCTGTTTGCCGTAGAGAGTTGCATGGAATACGACAACTCGAGTCGAACGCAACGAACGAAGCGCGGAATGTGAAAAATCTATAAGAGGATTCCTTTCTCAAAGAAAGAGTTCGAAATATTATTCGTTACGTTCGGCTCGAATTGTCGATCGTTTCTTCGCACACGCTCTGCATCCTCTGTCTCTTTCGTATTCATTCGTTCTCATTATTCATTAACCGGCAGCTGGTGCGAGCAGATTCACATTTCTCTATCCCTCCCCTCCCCTTCTTTTTTTTAACGCCACGCCTTTCTTCTTCTTTCTTCTTTTTCTTCTTCTTCTTCTTCTCATCTTCCCCTTCTCCTTGAATCCCGAAGCGAAGTGTCTCGCACCAGTATGTACCAGCGCGTTTTATTTTCTTTTTTTCCACGACGATCCCTCGTTTATGTTGCGTGTTTGTGTTGGTGCAAGGGGCAGGAGATACCGATATACATATGGTACGACTCGTATCCGACCCACAGTGGCGAGGGTTACGAAGGTCGAGTCTCGAGGGTGAGCCCGAACTCACCTTACGGCGGGGCGAGCCTCAACCTGACCGACATCCGCGAGAGCGATCAAGGATGGTACGAGTGCAAGGTCGTCTTCCTCAACAGGTCGCCCAACAAGAACGGTACCTGGTTCCACCTGGACGTCCACGGTGAGTACTCTTTCCTCTTTCCTCTCCGAACAGGAGGAATCGATCGAAAAAACTGTCGCCTTTCCTTCGTTGACGACCGATCGTCCCGTCGAAAGTCCAAACGCTTCGTCCCATTCTTGCTAAAAGAAGTTTTTTTAATATTCTTCCAAATTAGATTCGTCGAAAAGAATCGATCGACGAGAAAAAAAAAAAAAGAAAAAGAAAAAGAAAAATCAATCGATTTAAGGGAGGGAGAAAGAAAAAAAAAAAGACTCGATTTAAGCGCGATAATGGAACGAGTTTCTTCAGGGAGTGCAATTTAAGTGGAAAGTTTTTAACCGAGCGCGGCCAAGTTTTTTTTACATCGCTTCTAGCTCCAACCGGTCTCGTTAATATATTATCTCGCGCTTAAGAAGATTTTACGACCGCGACGAGTACTTTCATTGGCCACTATCCCCTCCCTCTCTTTCCAACGGTCAGCCAATTTTCCTACCTTCGAACCATCGACCGACTCTCGTCTCGCTCTATCGCGAAATTACATAGGAAAAGAGGTGGAGAAAGAGAGAGAAAGAGATAAGATAAGATAAGCGTTGGGCATAAGAGGGGGAAACGGTGGGAAGGGAAGGGGAAGGAAAGGAGGAAGAAAAAGAAATGAGACGGAAAGTAACGGTATTCCATATCGCGATTCTATTCGATTCTTTGGTTTCGTAAGCGGATGCGCGTAAATAAATAAAGTTTTAACCACGCCAAGGTGTCGTGGGGACATTGAACCGGACAGACAGGGAATGGTGGAACGGAAGAAAAATGGTAGAAAGGAAAACTTACCGCCTCGTTTTCTTTGGCCATAAACGACGGAATGGCCGCGGGGAACTGATGCGTTTAGATGTTTTAGGAAACGGTACGGTACTCTTCCTCCTCTCTCTTTTTCTCCTCGTATCTCTTACGACGTTCCCTCCTTCGCTGTTTTCTCCCTTGTTTTCTCTCTCTCTCTTTCTCACCGAGTTCGTGTACATCGAGCCCACGGCTACACTCGAGCCCACGTCATCGTCGTCGCACGAGGAGGAACGTCGGTGCAGACCGATTGCGACGACTAAGGATTTGCCAACGGCGTCAAACAGAGAAGAACCACTCGACCAAAAACGCTCTTTGTACTTTTCAAATCGTTTCTCTGGCTCTGGTCGTTTACTCGTCTTCGCGCTTCTAAACTATCGCCCCTTCCTTCCTTCCTTCCTTCCTTCGTTTTTCTCCTCTTTTCCGTCCTTCGACGTGTCTTTTCGATTCGATCGAAGAAACAATGGGAGGAATGCGATCGCAATATCCACTTGGCTGGCTGCTCTCTTCCTTTTTTCTTTCTTTCTTTCTTTCTTTCTTACTCTCGTTCTACGAGAGAGGCGCATTGCACGTGGTCGAGGGATAAAGAAAACGTTTTGCATCGAGTGTGATCCCGTAAAACTTGATCAATCGCGTTTCCACCTTTCGACTCGACGATCGACAAGAACGAATCGCGAATCTGGATCTGAATGAAAACCCGCACTACGATCGGGCGTCTCCGCGCACGGAAAAATCACGTTCCACTTTTTTTCGCTCGCGATCTGCTTACAGTTCCAAGAGTGTCGAGGGAGGATAAAAACGATTGGTTGGTTTTCGTAGCGCCGCCAAAATTTAGCATCACGCCGGAGGAGATGATCTACGTGAACGTGGGCGATGCGATAATATTGAACTGCCAGGCGGAGGGCACGCCGACACCCGAGATTCTTTGGTACAAGGACGCGAATCCGGTCGAGCCCTCGTCAACCATAGGAATATTCAACGACGGCACCGAGCTCAGGATCTCGACCATCAAGAGCGAGGACATCGGGGATTACACGTGCATCGCTCGAAACGGAGAGGGTCAAATCAGTCACACGGCCCGCGTCATAATCGCTGGTGAGTACAAACGCGGTTTCCAAAAACTTCCTCTCTTTTTTTTTTTTTTTTTTTTTTTTTTTTTTT